CACACAAAAACTACGCCGATACAATCATCTTGTAGAATATCCCCTTATTGAGTATTAACTGTGTCAATACGGATTACATGTTGCATTTCAGTTAAGAAGAAGAAAAAACAAAAAAACTTTTTTGCGCCGGAAAAAAAAACTAAACATCATTATAAAGTCTGGTAACAATGTATTTTTGCGGAATCTTTGCCAAATCTTTTGAAAAGTTTCCTCGTGATGATGTGATCTCTAATGATGGGCCGAATCCCAAAATTCGGCCCCGAATTTCGATTCGGCAAAAGTTCGGCCATATATGGCCCCGACCCCCAGTTTTTCTGCCCATAACTGGAGGAATCGTACAGCGCTGCCCCTGCGAACTGCACCGGCCCAATTCCCCTCCGGCGATGGAGATAAGCGTCTCCATATCTCCGTATCTCGAGACAATTTGAGCACTTCGAGTTGAAAGGGGACTCTCCACAGGGGCAGTGCCGCAGCAGCCGCGCCTCGCCCGTGCCGACCGGCTTTCTCCTGGCCGTATCTCTCGACGGCGAGAAGTGCCCGAGAGCGCCATCTTATCGGACAGAGACCGGGCGAATCTGCAGCCTCTCCGGGTCATTCAGTTTTATCGGCCGAGACGCCGCTTCGGAGCAGCGCGGAGAAGAGGCGACGCGGCCTGTCAGGGAAGAGCGGTGTCCGATTCCGAGGCAGGCGCGGTCTCGGCTTCCCAGGATGTCTGACTGAGCCGTGCCTCAAGGACACGGGGCTCCCGTTACCCCCGAGCCCTGTGGGACAGCTGCTGCCCCCAACGCGCAAACCTAAAAAAAATCTCTCAACTTTTTTTTTTCTTTTTTTGTGTGTCTGGAGCCACAAATGAATACGTTTCATGGTAACGACAGTAAAGACACTTTTTAGTAATCTTGTTGCCTAAAATCATTGTTGCCAGTGCCTGAAGCTTCATCTCAAATCTCGGGAGAGGCTTATCCGATCTCCAGAACTGCTAGGATGGTCCGGACCGTGACATAAAAAGGAAATGAGATCTTTTGGACTTGCTGACTATTTGTACCGAAAGCTTAGGAAGCCGCATTTTCAAAGCACGACTATCGCCCCCCTGATTCGCCTTTTAATGAATGACACACGAGATGTCAATTTTCTGGAACACACAAGTGGTTAACATGATCAACTGGCACTCACAGGTGGTCAATATAATCAACTGTGAATTTGTTTGAAACATTAATCAAAAGCAATAACGTAGAAAAAATTAAAAGAAGTATAAAAAACGTATCCCCTCTTTCGCATCACGCTAAATTCTGGAACCTACGCCAGGTTATGATCCGACTACGTGCTGTATTCCCTTTTTTTAGTTTCAAACGCCTTTCACACTTCACATGGGGCGTCAAATCCTCACTGCAAAGCTAGCTGCCCAACTCCCTTTCTATATAGACATATATCACTGACTCTTGCACCGATCAGTAGCGAGCAGAAGGCGTTCCTAGATCCCATACACTGGGAAATTTTACACCCTCGAGAATATAAAGAGACATACCTACGTGGCTACACCCTTTCAACGCCTTTATTTCGAGTGACGCCCCCTTTTAATCGTAAAATAAGCGGATGTTGTGTGGAATGCCCCTCATTTTTAAAGGGTGCAAAAAGGGAGTGGAAAAGGGTGCTATTGCGAAGCGAGAACACCCTTCATTTCTGAAGGGTGCTTACAGCGAGATGGCACGACCTGCGTCAAATGAATTTCGTGCTGGTGATCGAGATGTGGCGATATGTAGAAGCGAGGCATCAGCTTTTCACGCAAGAAAAAGGTGACGCGGGTTCAAACTAAATTTCATAGATGTTTCACCGGCAGTGCAATGAGAGTAATTATGAAGCGAACAGATCTACTTTGAATTGAATCAGCTGTCGGTGTTAATATGTAAATACCGTGCCCCCCGAACTGAAGGGCAGAAATCCAGTTTGAAAACTTAAAAAAAAAAAAAAAAAGAAACGTCCCGCCTGTGTAATTCGTCTATAACGAGCAGCATGTAGTGTTGTGTGAGCGGCTCTGTAAAATAGCCGATAAAATAACACGCCGTAAAATGCGGCGTGTTATGGCCCCTCCCTCAAAAAAAAAAAAATAATAAATAAATAAAAGAAAGCAAAAAGGATGACTGCAGTCAGAGTACCCAAAATATTCTTTGAACTGTATTTACCGTAATTGAGCGGTAAACGTGACAACCATTGTTTTTGCTGTGACCACACACAGCGGCGTAGACTTTCCATTTTCCCGGGGGGGGGGGGGAGGGGGAGGACAGGCTGAGAAGCTCTCCGAGGGGGTGCTTTGCCGCGAAATTTTTTTTTACACCGGCAATTATCAGCAGTTTATTTTAGGGGGTACATTTTACAGCGCGTGTATATCGCCATGTGTCCATCGCTGTATGTCAATCACCGTGCAAGCGTAGCCGTGTGTTCATCGCCGGTACCACGACGATGAACAGACCGTTTTTGTTCTGGTGAGTGGGACATCGCAAAATGGCAGGCTGCTGTGGAAGCAGACCAGGCGGACGTAGAAGTGATTTATGCCGCGTTACCTTCTCGCCAGAACTGGAGATTGAAGCTAACGAAAGCACGCTGGGATTCCATTTCCCATGCATTTTGTCAATAAAGGCAACGTAGGCGTTATTTTGTTTACATGATGCCACTACTAGAAGCTCGTTACATGGCACGTAAACAGCGTCTCGGTAAGGATCATGGCCCGGGGGCGAGGGGGGGGGGGGGGGAACGAGCCCCGATGCTTCCCCCCCCCCCCCCCCCCCCCCCCTGTAGTCTACGCCTATGACTACACATGCACGTTGGATGAAAAGTTAACGCATAAAATGTAAGAAAAAAGAACTCGAACAATTACAGCATTTTTGCCACCAAGTGACCTTGAACTACGAGGATTTTCACACACGGCTGATCGAACGAACGCGTTCTATTATAATCCACTTTACAGCCGGCTAAGAAAAAACGTAAGGCTGCCTCGGGTTCATCCCAAACGCTAAATCACCAAAAACTCTCGCTTTTTTTTCTTTCTGACGACTGGGGAGGAGGAGGAAAGATGGTTACTCGGACGCATTACGTTGCCGGAAAGAAGAAAAAAAAAGAAGAGAAAGAAAAAGGGGGGGCGCCAAACGCAAGCTAGGGGCGTCGCAGCAAGGCGGCGGCGGGGAGCCCTTCTCGGAAGGGGGGCTAGTTCCCTCGACCACGCCGCCTCCCAAGTCCTAACGTACACGCAGACACGAAGGGCCGGAGGGAGAGACATCGAGAAGCAGCACACCCGGCGGCCCTTCTTTTAGGCCGCTCTGGGTTTCCTTCTCTCCGCGGTGGTCTGCGACTCCACGTGAAAGACATCCAGAGCTGTCGTCGTGACGGGACGGTTTCTTCGTGTGGTGTCGGAGTGGACGCGCCTGTAGCACGTGCGCGATGCTTTAGTGCAACGCCCAGGTCTTTGATGTCTCGTCAAAGCGGTGGATTATGCGCTACGCAGCCGAGGCTAGGGTAGCTTCAGCAGCGCTTCAACGTTTTCAAAGCTACTTGCGCGAGAAAGGCTCCGTTTGGCAGCCCCGGCTGCAGCATTGTGGAAGTTATGCTAGCCTTGACAACGCGGCACAAAATAATTAACGCTGAGTATAGAGTAGCATTTTGTGTGTCTGTATGTGTGTGGGTACGTTTGGATGAGAGGCAGAGGCTGCAAAGCTTGACGAGGGTTCTAATTAAAAGTAACAAAATCAAGTATAACATATTTAAAAAGAAAAGCGTTTCAATTAACTCTAGACCAGTGGTCGCCAAGCTGTGGTGCTCTTAAAATGTACCTTGCGTTTTAGCTGCCGTGTGCCGCCCTAGCAATTGCTTCTTCTGTCGATATTCGGATTAACGTGCGTGCTGCTGTAAGGCACTCTTCTCAGCAATGTCGGTGGTAAAATCGAAAAAGCGTGCGACCCTGACGGTAAGACACTTAACTAATCTGCTCATGACTAAAATGACGTAAGACGAGTTGAAGTACAAAGTCCGAGTCTCACGATCGGGACGAACAATGAAAACACTTGTAATGACCAAGCGCTTTATCAGTGGAATTCACTGGGGCAAACAACCAACATGAAAGGAATAAAAAAAAAAAAAACTGCCACGCTTTATTGGGACTGTTCTCTTCAAACGTTTCTCATCACCCTCTGCGTATGTCCATCCGGCCACCCCTGCCCTAGACTAAGCTTACGCATGCTCTTAACTCCATGAAAAAAGCATGCTCCGGTGCATGTGGAATAGGCTCTGTAGCTCGTGTGCACATCCTGATTGTAAGAATAACTTTGTGTATTTAACCGAAAAATGGGCGTCTACTTTCTTGTATTCCTGACATTCGTACATGTGAGATCATGAGGACTTGAAGATCTTTCTGGACATATTCTTTCGTTTTCGAATGTAAATACCGATAAACGTCGATTTCATCGAAATAAAATGAATGCCGCTGTATGCAAAAGATGGTGCGAACGGTTAAGGTATGCCATTAACCGTTCGGTTAATGCATGCCATTAACCGAAACCTTGAGATTTACCATTTATTCTAAAAAACGAGTAACAGAAGAAACGTATACCCTGATCGGTGTTTACAAATAACCTTCGTTTATAGCGTCGCACCTGCCACTGGGAAACTCGCTGATGAAAAACACAGACAACTACTGGATGTGTTGGGCGGTATTTATAAATCAATGGTGGAAGGCTGCGTAGCTACAGACGTCGTAGAGTTATAATCTTGAGCCAAAGCAGCAAAACTAACTCGAGAAAGGAATCCTCTTTCTCATTCCGAAGATTCTAGAGTCTCCCCTCACTTCCCAAAACTGGTACCCCTACCGACAGCCCCAGGAACATCCAGGCCAAGCATGGGCGCGACGGCGGGCCCATGGCTCATCCGCCTCCACGAGAGCCATCTGGCTGGGCGGGGGCGCTCCAAAATAGCCGCTCCCGCCACACGCAGATAGGAAAGCATCGAGAGGCACTCGCCTGTCCGAGGTCTATGGTGAGGTTGACTTCGTTGAATCGGGTTCCTCGGGAAAGCGGCGGGCTCTGCCACCAGTGCTCGGAGCCGTCGATGGCGTTCTCGGGCGGATGGGCTCGTCGAGGGTCCGTGCCGTCGCAGTGGTCGCACACCTGTCCCTGGATCAGGTTGATGTGGGGGTTATCCTGCTTGTCCAAGTTGGCTCCGACTAGCTTGCAGTAGAGCTCGGGCGACGCAGAGTCACCGCACGTGGCGGTGGCCCAGATGGTGCGGCCTTCGGCCAGGTTGAAGTACGGAGGGTTCAAGATCTGGGCTCTGCACGCGGTGGCCAGGAAGGCGGCCAGCAGAGCGGCCGCCGTCGCGTGGCGTCCCATGCCTGTTGGGGAACAGCGTCGGTGGACGGCATCAGCATTCGCATCGAGGCCATCAGTTTGGACAAATCATAGGTGAGGGGCAATCTAACAAAAAAATGAAGAGCCGCATGATTCGTCGCGACCAGCCTCGCTTGCGCTCATAATCCAGTTGACTCGAGTACAAACTCTTCGGGTCATGGTATGACGCAGGGTGGGAATAAGTTGCTGTTACTGCTGAAAAGCTGTGTCGTTTGCCTAAATATCGATGCTCCAAAAGATGAGCTCCGCAGTTCTTTCTCTGTGCTGGTGGCGCAGAGATTATGAAATGTGACTTTATGGAGTTTGTAAGATATTGGATGAAACAACATGCTAGACCATTTCTGAGCCCTTGAACAGGGAAAGCTGCACATGTCGAACTGCCAACGCGTTCAGTGTAGTCGAAGCTATCTTGAAACAAGCCAGTACGGTCCCTAAATTAAAAAAAAAAAAAGTAAAAATAATATTTAAAAAAAGAAGGTGGCGTGTTACGTCTTTTTCTCTTAGTATCGGATTCTTCTCTCTCGAATTTAGTCAAACCTCATAAAAATTCGTAGCGATATTCGACCCAAATGAAAGGTCCTGGAACATCATTGTCAGCGACAGAGATGCACCATAATTCTTGTTCGGGGTAGCCGACTAAGCTCGCAGACTTCTCGCATGAAGGGAGCGGGAGGGGGAAGCAGCGGTACTTACGTGGGTGTGGCTGTGTCGGGCTCCCTGCAGGGGCCGCAGGATCCCGAAGAGGTACCGCCGCTGACGGGAGAACAACGTGGAGTGATGTCTGGAGCAGAGCGGCGCCTGGAAGCCCCCGGCGAGAGGAGTGCCGCCCCTCGTTCCCCTCAGAAGGAGGGCGAGGGCGACGGATAACGGCCTCGGTTGCACTCCCAGATAGACCGCAGCGGACACTACGAAATAGCCCTGCGCCGAAAGCGTACCAGTCCGGCGCGGCAACGGCGGCAACCCGAGGGAGCGCCGAGGCACGATTTGGAAGCGTTGGATTGGCGGGGTCGGTTTCTAACTTCCCTTGAGCTCCATCTTCGGACGAAAGGGGAGTTCGGTCGGGGTCCCGCACAGCAGCCCTCGTCAAGCCCTTCCTTGGCAGAAAAAGCGCTCTCGGCGGAAAGACGCTTTCTTTGAACGGAGTGGCTCGAAGCTGGGCTCGTCCTCCCGGAGAACAGCAGCGTTGGGTAGATCAGAAGTGCGCGTAGTGACGTCCGAAGTTACTGGCAGATTTCGTACTTCCATAGATTCTGCAAAAAAATGCCGGCATTACATAACCAATTGCTTCTATGCTGACAACGCATACCGAATACGAGAACCGAGCGCGACAGCGAGTGCAACAATCCAAATGACGTTTCTACTTTTTTTATTTTTTATTTAAAAGTTTATTTCTGAGACAACGCAGTCAAAGCTTATGCATGCGCACTGTTTATATCATTAAAAAAAAGATCAGTCAGGGGTTTTTCTACTTTTTGGCTAAGGGGCCGGAGCGGGGATCTGTCGCTATCTCGAGGGCCGGAAAATATATAGGCAAATATAAATGAGAAACAAGCTAAATACATTATCTCGGGTGAACATATATATGCAGAATTAGAAGTTAGAGCAAAAAAAGAAATAAAAATCAGCTGAAGGTTAAAAAAAAAAAAGGTGTTTTTTGCCGCAAAAATGACCAACGTATCGGCGAAGGCTCATTATCCGGCCATGCTGTAGCGCCAGCGGTCGAAGCCAGATGCCATAGTTTGCGAAGATACCGTTATCTCCGTCAAGAGTTAAAATGCAAAGTTTCCTCGGGAAAATGGAGCCCGGTTTCGGGAACCGGCGCCATTCAGCTCCATGCATTTGACTGGGTCCATCAGCCGCCATTTTCCCATCGAACATTTCAGAAAATCCTTGAGAAGTTTGGAATAAAAGAACGCTTATTAGTTCTGAAACTTTGGCATCTGGTTCACACCGCTACATTTGGGCGGGGATTAAACGTTCGGTAAAAAGAATTTGTTCTTTTTTTTTGTTAATAAAAAAAGAAACTTTTTTAGAGGGGGGCATTTTGTACTTCATTTTAAAAATTAATATTTAGGTAATTATGAACTTACACAATGATTGGGAGCCAGAAAACCGACCAGGCATAAATCAAAGCGCGTAGCAGCTTCGGCAACTTTCACACAGAACACTAAAGCCGATGATAGAACTAATGCTGACAATACGTAATAGACACAGCAGAGTATACATGGGAACGCGAGGGACTTTTAACATACGTAGTGACCACGATATAAACCAGGGTACTAATATAGAAATGCTGGTCATTACAATTTCCACTGAATAATACATCGAGAGGACGCGCATTACAATAGAAGTTTTCTCAGTTTCTATTCATGGTATTTTACTTTTGGCGGTTGGTGCGCGCTTCGGCGGCGTTTCTTTTTGCTCCGGCTGTCTTGCTGGACCGGGCCGGGCTTCATTGGAAGGTCCAGCCACGGGCCGGGCGGCACACCTCCGCCTACCGTGCAAAGTAGACTGAGTTTGTGTCATCTTTCAGTGAACAATTTCTTCTTCTACGTTGAAAAGGTTACAATCTGAAAGAGCACCGGTGTCGTGTTCGCTTTTAGGTGCGCCTTGCAGTGTAGTACTTTCAAGATAACATCCAACTTCCAAGTTATACATTTTAACTTTCAAGCATGGGCGTCGGCAGGGGGGTGCAAAAGGGGCACTTGCCTCCCCCCTCCCTTCCCCAGCTCTCTCGGGTGCGGGGGATCGAATGACGTCGCGAAATAGCTTTTCTAGCAAACGGAGAAACCGAAAGCAACCCTAAAAATAAAATCCACGCACTATTGTTACCTTGGATCCTTCAGCAATAAACACACAAAAAAATAAGGTCTCCCCTCGGTCAGTTGCGATCAACCGCGCCCAGATGGCAAAAAAAAAGAAAGAAAAAAACATAGGGAGGAACATTGCAGTCCTGTGCTGTGAGGAGTCTTAAGCATTCGGGTGAAAGTCAGTAAAATGACCCGAAAACAGAGCGTCTTCTACACAGAGCGGGATTCTTCCAAAAAGCCCAGCAGAACAAATCGGGGTAGCTACGAGTTGGAGATAGTCCGCGCTCCTCCTTCGCGGGTCCCGGGGGGAAGAAGGGGGGGGGAGGCTAGCTTTGGCATTTTTTTTTTTGGGGGGGGGGGTTAGCTCCCCCCAAACCAACCCCCTGTCCACGCCACTGCTCACGACAGTGCTCTGTTTCGTATATGTGCCTTTGGGTTTTTCTTCTCCTTTGCCCGTACGTTGCGGCCATGGGAAAGGAGAAGAGGGGGGTCAAAATCGGGGCCAGGCGTCCTCTTTTGGACAATGCAGTTCTGCGAAACTCTGTTCGCAGCATGTCAACAGCGATACTCTCCCGGGCCAGAACTCAGGCGGGAGAGGACCGTCCTCGTTGACACCACCACCGTGTTCACACGCCTGACACTCGAATATATCTGTGACAGGGTCGCATACTCAGCTGTTGCTGGCTCTCTCTTCCTGGCATAGGTGCTTGAAAGGGCCAGATTCCGCACCGAATTCCACTTTTTTTATATAACCGTGGGCTCATATGGGTCAGGAGTGAAAATTGTCATCAGAAGCTTTTTTAAACGGAAAGCTGACAGTGATAATGACAATCCATCTTGTGCAACAAAGAAGCATGTGACCTCAGAGCTGTGTCATGACCCGGAATCTATCGATGCAGCTGCTGTTTCCGTCACTCCTGATCATCCTCCGGCTTTACGGAGCCAGCTGGTCATTGGCTTTGACCTCAACTCGACTCTCACAGGTATGTCAAGCTCGTCTTTAACTGTGGGAGTATAATTCATGCAAAGCTGCGTTTGATCAGATATATAACAACCAATAAAAAAATAAGAACCAGCGGGCTAAAATTTTACTCCAGTTCTGAAATGAGAGAGAGCGAGCATGGCAAGCTAAGGAAACCCGCGTCGAGGAAATACGGAAAGTTACTAACCCTCCGGCGGTAGCCCCGCTGTCACAGAATTGGACTATTTTTTAAATCTTTTTTCGAAGTTTTCGCGAGGGAACGCATCCGGTCGTGGGACGCACCCTTGCCCCGCGCGTTGAGCGGCGGGGTTCGGGCACCGTCCGTTTTCTGTTTTATGGCCCCCTGGCCCCCCTCGTCCCGAGGACGTTTCTCGCGAGGTTTTTAGTTGGTAGCGATGGGTCCCTCGGCTTCCCGGAATGTTGGGAATGGTTTCCAGATGTCCGAGTGGCGGTGCGCTTTATGGTTCGCTGGGGTAGGCTCGGCTTGCCAGTGTGACGTGTGTTTTTTTCTATATGTATTTTGTTGTTGCCACTGCAGAGAAACAATTATTTTTTTTTGGGCAAGGGGGAGTGGGTGTCTGTTGCTGGAATTCGGGAAAGTGAGGACCTCGGCTTGATTCCGAGTCAAGGCAGTGTATGCGGAGACTGGACCGGTGGGTGGACGCGTCGCGAAAGTTGGGAGCGGGTGCGGCGGAAGGCGGAACGCGGGAAGAGCTCGGAGCGGCTCTGCGGGCCCCCAAGTGTGTGTGCTCGTGGATGAGTGTGGTGCCGAGGAGCATCGCACGGAGCATCCAAGCACGCACAGACTTCCCCGTTTCGACCAGCGTCGCAACAGACCCGCGTCACCCACACCACTCTCCGGAGCCAGGTTCGCATCACTCACCCTTGTAAAAATGTATCGTACAATTTAGAGCTATTATTTTGTTATACCATTTTTTTTTTGTTCCTTTGTTCGTGTCTAGTTTGGACAACGCCGTTGAAGCGTTGCTGTGCCGATTGTTTCTTTTATATGTGAGTAGCGCCTGTGCGCTAAGAAAAGTGGTGTGAATTTTTTTTTTTTTACTTGAATTTCATTATGGGTAAAAGCGCCGCGCGCGAGAAGGGCAGAGTGACGTGTGATTATTATTTTGTTTTACGTTTGGTGTGTGCGTTGTCTTGAACGTGAGTCAAGTAAATTGTTTTCGTTATTGTAACGCAACGTGTCCGTCTCGTTCCTCGCCCCTCACAGTGAGTCCGTCCACCAAGGCGTGGACCTATCGTCCGGTCAGCGGTCCAAACAAAATTATAAATTTTGTTTGCATGGGGATCATTTGGATATTTTATTGTTAATTTTCCGAACCTGTGACACCCGCCGTGCTAGCTTTCCAACACAGCTAACGCAGCTTTCAGATGTCTCCCACGGACCACAACCCGGAAAATACTTCGAATTAATATTACGAGCGAAGACAATTTTGTGCAGAAAATTAGAGTTGTAAATTTGAGCAGAGGCCAACTTGGGGTAGCTTTTAAAAACGTTATACGTCAAATATTGTTGAATATGGAAATAAAAAGGTATTGTTCATTGCTGTGACTTGCAAGTCACACGCAAGACAGTGCGTGTGACTTGCGTGCACTGTCTTGCTATTTTATTGTGTACGGTACATTTATGATGCAAATACTTGTCTATAAAATCTTTGTGCTTTTCAATCTCTGAGAGCATTTTAAACTAAGTGGGCTGTTTTGTTGTTTTGCCGCGACATAGCTAGACCTTTTATTTTACTGTGCCTGTACATATCTATAAAAAAATTTTTACGTTGAAATTACTGATTCATTGTACTTTTTAAAATAATTGTTTCATAAAAAAATATGTGTATCTTGCAAGCTGTATTTAGCTCTTTCGTATTTTATCGTGGGACCACCCCTTTCCCATTGAGTGCACACGCCCTAAAAGGGCTGTCAGTTTGTCCCTCCCAAGACAAAATCCTGCCGACGCTCATGCTTTTAAGCCATCCTTCTTTAAAGGAACACTGAAATGAAATTTGGATTTCGCAAAATAAGGCCGCAGAGGCGTTGAACGAGACACTACGAACTTCAAAACACATCGATATCTCAAACCGATGGCCGTACTTTTGCGATCAAGCGAGGTCTATGTCGTCATTGTCCTCCGGGAAAATTTGAGAATGAGGGGAAGCGGCCTCGTTTCTCTCCTCCTCGCTTCAGTTCA